GCTAGAGTTGTGGTACGAGCTAGTTAGTGACCTGCCTATCTAAGTTTTACCAGTGTGGACACCCACAGGACAATTGTAAGGAAAAAATAATGTAGGAACTTGCAGCTGGTGTAGTGGTTAAAGGTTCTGGACTCCCACATGGCCAACCATAGTTCAGGTCCCAGACCTGGCAGCTTGCCTTCTCACTTTCTCTCTCTCTCTTATTCTCTCCCTCTCTAGTCAAATTTAAAAATAAATAAATAAATTAAGTTAAATAAAATAATTCTCTAACATATATATGTACAAAACAACACCTAACACCCCCCAGGGTAGATGGCCAGGCTGCAATCCCTTCTCTATTCTCCTCTGTCACCAAGGGCTTATTTATCATGCCCCTATAACACTTGATTAACTGATACTTTGAGGGGGGAGTAAACTCAGTAACCTGATGTTTCTCCACAGAAAGTAACTTTAAGGATAAAACTAGCAACTCCTAAAGAGGCTTTCATGCACAATTAACACCTGGGTACTCCCCAGGCCACCACCAGCAGTATGGGCCATTGTGAGGACACACGCTGCCTGTTGGCACCCTCTGCACTGAGCTCATTGCAATGATCTGAGACCTGATGGCATCTCACTGCAGAGCTGCTCCGAAAGACTCAGAGACAGGGACAGGAAGTCCCAGGCTCTGGGCCAGGATGGCACAGAACGGTGAGGAAAGGTAACAAACTGGCAGCACCTGCTATCTACATGGCCTCTACAAACGCCACGCACATAACTTCAGAAATGCAGGCTCCTCAGGCCTAAAGGCTCTTCTAAAACAGTAAGTAAAAATTACAGTCAATTGGGGGTGATTTACTAGATCAGTTTCCAAACATAGCTAACAACTTTTAGTTGAACATGTGGGCTATTCTATTTCAACCTACACAGAAAGTCCTACTTTGAGTCAACCAAGAAACATTCTAAATTCCAACTTTAAAATATGCTACCAACAGTAAAAAAAGAAAAAAAAAACACAAAATTTTGTCTCAAATGAAAATTATATGTAAAATATGACCAATTTTGGGGCCAGCAGGTGGTGTGGTGGATAAGGGTGCTGGATTCCCACATGGCCAACCATGGTTCAAGTCCTGGACCTGGTGGCTTGCTTTCTCACTTTCCCTTTCCCTTTCCCTTTCTCTCTCTCTCTCTCTCTCTCTCTCTCTCTCCCCCCCTCCCTCCCTCCCGTCAAATAAAGGGGGGGGGGACAGTACAAATGGAAATAAATAAATAATTCTTTTAAAAAAATATGACCAATTTTATGGGAACCAGCAGTTAGCGTAATGGCTATGTTGCTGGACTCCCACGTAGTCAACCGCGGTTCGCGTCCCGGACCCGGTGGCTTAAAACTCACGCCGGGCGCGTGTGCGTGCGTGCCCATGATCCCGAGAGGAGAATGGAGGAGAAGGGATTGCGGCGTGACCATCCCCCCTGGGGGGGTGATTTCTCGCTTTCTGTCTCTATGTCTCTCTCTGTCTGTCTGGTGAGCGCACGCGCCCTATAGCGAAAATCTCTCTCAAAAAAAAAAAATATATGACCAATTTTAAAGATAAAATGAAATCACTGTCAAAAAAGGATTTTCTTTCTTTCTGTCATTTTTTTTTTTAAATGTTTTTGCCATAGGGCACATACGCTCACTGGAGACAGGAAGAGAGAAGGAAAGTGAGAAATCATTCCCCAGGGGTGATGTTCACACTGTAATCCCTTCTCTTCCACTCTCCTCTAGGGATGTTGGGCCCACACACAGGTGCCTGGCATGATTTTCAAGCTGCAAGTCTGAGGTTTGAACCGCAGTCAGCCATGTGAGCACCTTATTAACAAGAGATTTTCTTTACTTTGAATATTGGTATTTGTAAAAAAAAATCATATGATTTAATTTATCATCTTTGTTTTAAAATTAGCTCAAGAGTTTCAAATTAAATAAAACTTTTTTTTAAAAGATATTTTTTGCTATAGGGTGTGCGTGCTTGCCGCAGAGATAGAGACACAGAAAGCAAGAAATCACCCTCCAGAGGGGATAGCCACACCACAATCCCTTCTTCTCCATTCTCCTCTTGGGATTTTGGGCACGCACGCACATATGTCTGGTGTGAGTTTCAAATCACCAGGTCCAGGACTCAAACTGCAGTCAGCCATATGGGAGTTCAGCAATGTAATAACCATTATGCTCTTGCTGGTCCCCCAAATTAAGTAAAACTAACTTGAAGAAACTCAGAGGAAAATATTATTTACTCTGACATTTTTTGTCAATTTTTAAAATACAATAGTAGTAATGTACTTGGGACTTTTACATAATTTATAGCTGTAATAACTTTGTTACTCTTCTCTTCTCTCCTCTCCTCTCCTCTCCTCTCCTCTTCTCTTGTAAAGGTTTTTTAATACCACAAGGTGCACGTGCTTGCCAGAGTAAAATAGAGTGACAACAAGAGGGAAAGTGAGAACTCACCCTCCAATGGGAATGGTCACACCACAATCCCTTCTCTTCCCTTCTCCTCCTGGGATTTTGGGCATGCATGTACACATGCCTGGTGTGATTTTCAAGCTGCTGGGTCCAGGACCCAAACTGCAATTGGCCATGTGGGAGTCCAGTGCCTTAATCACCATACTATCTGCTGGCCCGTGTTGCTGATTCTTGTATGATGTTCTCTCTCTTTCTTTTTTTTTTAAGATTGATTGATTGATAGATTTAAATTTGACCAGAGAGGAACAGAGTCACAGGGAGGGAAAGTGAGAAAGCAAGCCACCAGGTCAAAGGATTTGAATCCCAGTCAGCCACGTGAGAGTCCAGTGCCCTCAACCACCAAACCATCTGCCAGCCCCCTTATATGATATTCTTTTGAAATGTTCCCTTCTCTGAAATTTAAAAATTTCTAAACTGGGGCCAGTAGGTGGCATGGTAGTTAAGGTGCTGAACTCCAACATGGCCAACTGTGGTTCAAGTCCTACACCTGGTGGCTTGCTTTCTCACTTTCCTTCTCTCTCTCTCTCTCTGTATCTCTCTGGTGTGCATATGTGCCTTATAATAAATTAATGATGATAATAATAAAAAAGGAATAACTAATTCTTTAAAAATAAACAAATAAACCTAAACTGAGCAAAAGCAGAAACAAGAGTCTTCCTGGCATCCCTGCCCACACATTGTACACACTGATTGGCACACGCACAGCAGGCACAGGTGTCCTGAGGAAAAGAGCAAGCGGAGAGCTGGGGACCCACCAGGCTGAGTCAACCGAGTAGCCGGCAACCTAGCCCACAATGACCCACACTCCTGAGACTCAGCCACTCCTCGCTAGCCAGTGTCCTTGCCACCGTCCCTGACCCACGGTGCTGAAACGGATTCAGAAAGAATGAAATGATCTACAATATGACCCACCTGCTGCCCACGGTTCAACTGGACCTGTGGGAGATAACCTGTCTCACCAGCAAGACATCACTGTATATTTCCTGACAGACCATCCTTTTAAACCACTAGATTGCTTCCACAACCAAAATTTACCAGCCAACATAAGCAGTATTGGAAGTTTTAGTCCTGATATCCTGAGGTCAAAGTGGTCACCAGCTCTGACTGTGTCACAAGTTTCATTGGCCAAACGTATTATGCTTTGTGATCCTAATCCAGGTGACCCCTTAGCACCAGATACTGCATAAATCTAAAAATTAAAGAAAAATACCAGATCGCCGGAAGTATTTTTCTATGCAAAAATGCGTCATGACTTTTCCAATGACCTAATGTAAATATATCACTCTGAAACCTGCTTCTAATACTTCAGACATCCTTTCAAGTCAGGACACACAGGTGTGTTCCTTTTCGGGTCTTCAGATTTTTTTTTCTTTTTCTCTTTTTTAAAATTTGCCAGAGGGCACATGCACTTGCGAAAGACAGACAGAAAAGGCCAGAGAGTGGAAAAGTGATGAAGCACTCCTCATGGGGGATGGTCACGCCCCCTCTCCTCTATTTCTCTCTTCTGTCAGACTTTTGGGCACACACCCCCGCATGTTTTTTGAGCTGCCAGGTCTGGGATTCAAATCACGCAGTAGGCCATGTGAGATCTAGCCTCTTAACCACCATACCACCTGGCCCGTCTTTGGATTCTTATGAGTTAAATGACTTATTATTTAATGTCAACCAAAAAGGCACCAGCTGGTTTCTTGGGAGACCTAAGAAATGATATAAACATATTTCAAACTTAGGCCAGCGCTCGAAAGCCTAGTGAACAAACAGAAAGCTCTTTTTGTGTTTCTCGAGAAGAACTATTATCTGAGATAGGACTCAAAGTCCTTTGTTGTCTTAATTAGGAAAATCACCATCAATGATCTAAACAAAAGATGATGCTCTGAAGAACTACAGCCATTGAGGCTGGCCCTGAAAGGCTTGATGTGGATCACTGTACTGCATCCAGCCCGCCTGCCTGTCTACCCCACAGCCACAGGTGCAGGCCTCTTCAGGTCAGACCCTGTAACACCCTTAGCTTTGGAGCGTGCACCTTAAGCCAGCCCTTTAGTTGGCTAGAAACCAACGACAGGACATTTCACAACAAGATGCTGTTAGTCGATCACATTCTCTCAGAAATGTGAACTGGCACACTCTAGGAAACCCGCAGACAGAATCAGAAGCCTAAAGCTGACACAAAGGGGATGCAACAAGCAAGATGTCATGGAGCAGCTGACTGGGACTGTTTACTCCCCACTCTGAAGAAAGAACATTTTTTTTTAACATTCTTTGAAATTCTGAAAATAATTTCTGGGCCTTAGGCTGTATGAAGATATTTTGCACCCCACCGTCAGTTTAAATGAAGTCCAACTCAACCTTAACCTTATTCAGAGTCTGAGACGTACAGCTCAGCTTCTACTTGTGTAAGCGGGAGTCCAGGCTACAACCTTTCCTTCTTCAGGTCTGTGTAGCACCTTTTTAAGGACTGAAGATCTGTTCAGGCCGTCACACCAGTCAGGTGTGAGGAGCACCTCTGACTAGACAGACCCACCTGTGCAGGAAGTGCAGCTTGTGCATGGCCGCGAGCCCCGCGGAGATCTCACACGCCATCCTCTGCAGCAGCATGGTCTGTGAATCCCCCCGCAGGTGCTCCTGCTCGTTGCGCAGATAAGCTTTTAGATCGCCCTGCAAAAATCAGTCTGCTTTAGTTTTCAAAAGTGGACAATATGAACATGCACCTTAGCTGACATTAACTATGACATTTCCTTACTAGGAATTACTTAAGTTTGCATTTAATTAAACCTCAGACTGAACAAGTTGCAAATTATAAAAAGGAACTTCAATCCAATATCTCAAAAGTATAGAACACTATTAGGCTTTCAGGGCCACTCTAACTAGATTAAATGTGAGTTTATTTTTCTTATATAAACACACAGAAAACAGTAATTTCCCAGATAACAAAGAGATGGCACAGAGAATAAGAGAATTGGTGACAATTACACTGCCTATTTTAAGGATTCTAGGAGACACTCACCAGTAAGCACCTTGCCACTAGAGTCACATGTCTGATAAGACACTGATGAGCAATGGTGAAGAGAATGACAGAAAAATAGGGGGAAATTCATTTGGTGCTTAACGCCTGCTCAAGACTCTCTGAACTTTCCCTGTGATACCCTGAAACTATTATGAGAGAGCATTCCAAACCCTCTAGGAAAACTCGAAGTTCATAAGCCTATTCAAATGAGAAGAGATTGAACAAGAAAATGAACACATTTACATTCAGACTCTAATACGCATACATTCACACACCGGGCTCCCTAGTTCCTTCTGTGTGACTTCCTTATGTTGTCTTGTATTTCATGACTTTAATTTAGGACTGTATGTTTTTAGAGGCAGGGTTCACAGAATACAGTAGCCCCCCCACTTATCTGAAGTTTTACTTGCCATGGTTTCAGTTGCCTGTGATCAATCAAGGGCCAAAACTATTAAATGGAAAATTCCAGAAATAAACAATTTTAAAGTTTTAAATTGCACACTTGTGGTAAAATCCTACACCTTCCTGCCTGAGATGTGAACCATTACTTTATCTGGTGTATCCGGGCTGTATATGCTACCTGCCCGTTAGTCACTGGGAAGCCTCAGTTATCAGGTAGAAGATCCACAGTGTACAGTACCATCTGCAGTTCCAGAAATCCACGGGGATCTTACAACATGTCCCTTGCAGATAAAGGGGGAGTACCGGGGGAAACAGTTTTGAGAAAATAACCCTTTCCATAGTCTTTCCACCTGATTAAATATTTATTGATGTGATTCAATTCCAAATTAGAGCGTTCTATAATCAGTTAATAAAATTTAGAAGTTTCTTTATATGTGAGTCAAAAAAACACTCCAAAGGGAAATTTCCTTGACCTATTAAACACATTTCTTATAGCTGTTACTGATGATAGCTAATTTATAAAATCCCTCCCCTTCAAAACACAATATTTCTTTACAAGCATCTGTCTACATCTAATATACTAAATATATCCTAATGTAACTTCTAGGTCCACTCCAAGAATCTTAATTTGCTTCTATTTTCAGTTTCAATGATCTTTCTGTGGATAATAATTTAGTGCTGTTAATAATTACTTCCATTTGAGCTTTTGAGCACTATGTCAAGCATTGTGCTAAAGGGTTTTTCTCTTGCTACTGCAAATACTTCTCACAATTTGAGATCATTTCCAGATATGAAACTGAGGCTTAGGGAGAATACGAAATTTGTCCACGGCCACAGAGCTAGCAAATGGTGGGGCTATAATTCTACTTTTAGTTTTACTAATTAGTCAGGAGAACGCTAACAAATGAGTTAAATTAGTATGCAGATTAAATCAATTTATTTAATAAGAATGAGTGCTAAGTAATTTAAGGTCAATTGTATCGATCTGTAGAATTCTCCCGTGTTAACAACATCTGTGCCAAAGAGGCAGTAACTTCCCCACAGCACTTGTGTGCACATTCTGCCACCATCAGTGTCTTCCTCAGATTTCTTTCCAAACACTGCACTTTCTCCTTCTGTTCCCACTGGAATAATTAACAAACTCACAGGAGAAATAGGTTTTTTTTTTTTTTTTTTTTTTTTTTTGTGCTCGTTCCCACTGC